GAGAGAGAGAGAGAGAGAGAGAGAGAGAGAGAGAGAGAGAGAGAGAGCGAGCGCACTAACCTTTTTGGTGAGGAAAACAAGAAAAAGAAATCTGCCCCTGCCTCCCAGCAATTTTGCCTCATTGCAGCAAACAGCAAACAGCAAATAGCCTGCTTTACATTCATTTTTGTTTTCAGCATAGCTTGATTAGCACAAGGAAAAAAAAATCTGCTATTTTTGTAGCACACCTTGCACTAAATATCAAATTGTCACAATCATGAAAGCTATTTGTGAGGGTGAAACAGGACATTTTTCCATCCCTTTTGACCGCCCCTGCTAAGACGTAGTGCGATAACATTTAGCCAAATCTCTGCTTGTTGGAATCTCAGGAACTGTAGCATTCGTTCATCACTTCCAATTTGAAACAGATCCATTCTAACCCGTCACAAGGCAGAGAAGAAGAAAACTCTAAACCAATCGCAATTAGACTAAATATTTGGGGTATTTGCAACAGATTAAAACAAGGATTTAGGAGTGAACATAAACTCATCACAAAAATGCTTTCAGATGGCCATTACATTCCTTGATATTATTTGCATACATTCTTGCACTGTGGAGCTATATTTGTTAAGCACCACACAGGAATTTCCATTGTTGGTTTTTAACCCATTATCAGCGTTAGTCTGAAAAATGACTTGTCTGCTTATTTCCTCAATAATTCTTAGCTCTTTCCAGCATACCACAACTGAGTCGTTGGCATACTTACCTTCTAGAAGCTACTTTTTTAAAAAAATTAAATTAAAAGGTGTGTAATTTGCAATACGACAACAGAAGGATTGCTGTCAAAAACAGTATTCCACGTTTCTTTCTTGAAATATTATGTTTATCAAAAACTCCAAAATACAGTGTTGTCATTAGCGATCACCGCCACTGAACATTTCATGGCTACACAAATTATTGCAATACATAATTTTTGTTTTTCGGGAGTTCCCTGCAACATTGAGGGTGCCGTTTATTCTACATTGAAGGGAAAACATTGACTGGCTTAAGGTAAAGGTAAAGATTCCCCTCACACATATGTGCTAGTCATTCCCGACTCTAGGGGGCATTTCAAAGCCGAAGAACCAGTGCTGTCCGAAGACGGCTCCGTGGTCATGTGGCCGGCATGACTCAATGCCAAAGGCGCACGGAACACTGTTACCTTCCCACCAAAGGTGGTCCCTATTTTTCTACTTGCATTTTGTACGTGCTTTCAAACTGCTAGGTTGGCAGAAGCTGGGACAAGTAACGGGAGCTCACTCAGTTACACGGCGCTAGGGATTTGAACCGCTGAACTGCCGACCTTTCAATCGACAAGCTCAGCATCTTAGCCACTAAGCCACCACGTCCCTCCCACCGCATCCCTTTTATTGGTTTACCAGTCAATAAAAATGTGCATTCCAACCTGTCAGCGTGGGAGAGAACAAGCGAAGGAATTTTTGGACAATACAGTAAAGTTAAATCTCCTGAACGTTAGTGTACATTTCAGGCTATTTTTTTTTTAAGGACAGGAATAAGACTAAAAGGAAGATCACAACCTTACTCCTTTAAGAAGATGGGGCAGAAAATGAGTTAAAATCTACTTCCGCCCCAAGAAAAAATAGAACAGTTCCAAAGTGTTGCTCCATTATAAATTTATATCTATTAAGAGTTATTGATTTTCAGAGCTAATTCATACAGTTTATACTCAATTCTAATACAAGTATCAATATGAAGTGACAAAGTGATTTCCTCCATCATAAGCAACTAAGAAGTTGCAATAAAGACAAACCTGGCATTTGCAAGAGGGAAAATGCAGTCAGACACAATTTCAGCTTTAGATACTTTAGCACACAATATTTCATAACACATGTTACACCAGTGGGGATCCATGCTGAATATAAAGCAGGATGTTTCTCTATTTAGTGCACAGAGTCCTAGCATATTGCTCTAATAAGATCTAAAGTTCCTGCATTGAAGCAATCAGAGCTGAAAATCTAAACTTCACATGTTTATTCAGCTATTTTTGTAAAGGTTTGGATGAGAACTTACTGTAGTGTTCCAGTTGATCTGTGATATTCTTGAGTGGAGATTTAGGCTGAACATAAGCAATAGAACTCCAGTAACTACCGATGCGCTACAGCTGACAAATTCAAAAAAATAAAGTCCTTCACAAGGAGAGCATTCCATGATGGTCTCTATGCAGATGAAGGAAATCAAAGCCAAAACCTAAGATGTGGAAAAACAGGAAAACAGTATTGTAATATTCTGAATATAGAGTCACCAATAATCCTGAAGCATCCATTGGGAAGTGGATACTTAACAATGTGCAGTTCCCAGTAAAATTCATGATATAAACCAAACATGGCAACTTTAAGACTTGCAAACTCCCCACCCCATGGCTGGCTGGGGAGCTGAAATCCACAAGTCTTAAAATTGCCAACTTTGGAAACCCCTGATATATAAAGAATTCAACACAAGTTACACAAAAACAAGTTTGCTTCTACTGTACGGCAATCCGAGACGCATGCATCCAGAATTTACTGGATAAACGACTGTATGTATTGGAGATCTGTGAAAGAGCACAACTGAGGAGCTATGAAATGCTTCCCAATATAAATCAATGCAAACAACCTGAACCAATAATTATATTAGTGAAATGTGTTTTCTTACGGGAGTTTCCATACACCTTGATCATTTATGAAATGTAAGGAGGATGTAGACATCATAATCTCCTTCTTCTAATTTTGTGTTTACCCATTGCTTCTTTTTTATTATTATCTGTTTTATTCATTAAAAATGTGTCACAAATACCATTGACTGGTGCTAATGGTTGATACGGGTTGCTGCCAGCATCCTAGGTATCAACCAAGTATCTTCTTAAATATATGATGTTCCGGGTAGCACAGTTTTTTGCAGTTCCGCTGGTGTTATTGCAGGAAGCTGCAATTTGTTGATGTATCTTATAAAATTCTCGGACATGGTACCAAGTGCCCCGATCACAATGGGTATCACTGTTACATTTTTCATCCATAGCCATGTAGTTTTCATGGCCAGGTCGCAATATTTCGTGATTTTTTCCAGTTCTTTTTCTTCAACTTTGATGTCTCCTGATACAGCAATATCAATAAACTGTACACTTCAGCCCTCAACATCCGTGATATCTGGCGTGTTGTGTTCCAAATGACGATCCATCTGTATTCGACAGATCATCTGTATTATTATTATCTCTTTTATTCATTATTGTTGTTATTTACTTTATTCATTAAAAACATGGAACTCAGTCAACTGAACATTCCAAAATGCATCACAAATACCATTGACTGGTGCTAATGGTTGATACGGGTTGCTGCCAGCGTCCTAATATCAATTGTTGTTGTTGTTATTATTATTATTTTCATAGAAAACTTATGGAGGAAGAGTTCCCTCAAGTCTGGAAACTCCTCAGTATTCTCTTTGATTTAAAAGGTGGATAGGACAGCCTTCTTTTTTTTTTTTTTTTTAAAGTTTTTTATTGATAGGACAGCCTTCTTCACTTGGTTGCAAAGATAAGGTATAATCTTTTTCATACTACAAGTACAATGGAAAATAATTCTAAGTCATCTCTAAACCTTTTGTCATCACATCTCTATTTAGTATAATATTAATAAATGTACTTCCCCTAAAAAAAACACCAAAATGAACACAAATGACTAATAAAACAATACAACGAAACTCTGAAAAGGTGGGTTTATTGCAACAACGTACTGTGTGAATAAAAGTTTCCTCACACCTCTCCTGGATTCTACCCGCATTTCCGCAAGAGAGGGACAAATCAGTTTGATTCAAATCCCAGTCATGAAAAAGTTCTACATTCTTGTTTTCGACACGATGTACCTCATTTGCTTTCATGCCGCTTTCCTGTGGGAAGCAAAACTTTGCATGAATTCACCAACTCGCAGTCAAGAACCACTGGACTTTTTCTGACTCAAATAATCTTCCAATGTAAAAATGATACAGTCATATTTTCAGGGACTTCCTAAAGGCCAGAAATGTTGTCACCAATCTAATTTTACCCTGTTCCTGCTAATTCTCAAGGCACCTGTGCCATGCAAAGAAAGGGGCCTGTTTGTGAAACATCTCCAGGCATGTTGCAAACGAAACTGGTGGTACCAAAAAAAAAAAATATATATGTGGCATTGGTTACAGATTTCCCCCAAATTGTTTTAGCTCTTCAAGAGCCAATGAGTTCTTTTACAACTGTGCAGGATCAAAGAACAGCAGCCAAAAAGAGCTTTTCCCAAATATTTTGTCCTATTGTAAAGGACGCAGATATTTTTGCTGCCGCTTTGGGATTGGCCCAGCACGCCACCAAATCAAGTAAGAAAGAGAATGAATTGTAGCAGAACCAGATCCACTTTGGCAAATCATCTTAACTAAGTATTACTGTCAACATCTGAGAAAAATGAAGAGAATGCACTGAAGTTTAAATTTAACCTCAGCAGAAGTTTTCATAAGGAAAAAGAATGCTACCATTACATTTTCCCTATTTAGCTGGCTGCATTTTATCGGTTGTTAAATTGGGCAATAAAATATTTTTTAAAAAACCCTTCCATCGTGACGGCTTTTTTTTTTTTAAATAGTCTTCCTGTTTATCTGAAGGGGCCCATAAAAAGACTTATTGTATGTGGTTCAACGACATAATTACTCATGATTGTGAAAAACTACCAGATAGTGTATTTTTTTCCCCCTACTTAAGAATATTCAGGATCTTGGGGCAAAAACGTTTAACAGAAGTTACTTTATCTTGTAATATGCTAAAGCTGATAATACATCCTAATATAGGGATGGAGAAAATGGCCTTTGGAAATCCCCAAACCTAGAAGGTGAGATGCTGAGCTTTTCGACTGGAAGGTTGGCAGTCAAGACCCATGCACTGCGTGACGGGGTGAGCTCCCGTTCTTGCCTCAGCTGCTGCCCACCTAGCAGTTTGAAAGCATGCAAATGTGAGTAGATAAATAGGTACCACTTCGGTGGGAAGGTAACAGCATTCCGTATGTCTTGGCATACAGTCATGCCGGCCACAGGAACATATGTCTTCAGACATATGTTAACCTGGCTCCCTCAGCTAAGAAACGGAGATGAGTACCGCCCCCTAGAGTCAGACACAACTGGACAGTGGAAACGTTACCGTTACCTTTTAAATATATCTCATCTCTTTTGTACTCAGGTTTAGATGTGTTATTCTGATTTAACTTAACTAGCACAAAGTGGGCCTCAACTGTCAAGGTTCCAACGGATGCCCTAATTAAATCATGAGCCTCGAACCAAGCTTCAAAAGAAATCCAGTTATTTATTAGGAGCTCCATGTCGGCACATACCCAAATGAAGCCAACTCTGACCCCATGTAATTTACAGTCCTAATCATGACCCTGTTTCCCGCCTCCCCCCAGGGTGTGTCACATTCGCCAATGGAGCAATTTCGTGGGTTGTAGAGATCACTCCCCTCCGGCCGTTGTGGGTAACCCTGGGATTTAGCCTTGAGAAAGATATGTCTGGAATGTGCTCCTGTTTTTGGCTGCTGTGTTGCTTTGTCAGTTTCTCATCCCCCTTGCCTATGGCAACTTGAGAGCAAGCCAGGGATGCTTTGCGAGTTGACATCAACTCCCTAACCCACCAGGTGTTTGATCTGCAGAACTAGAAGCTTATTAGATAAAGAGTTGTCACTTCCCACTTTCCTCACGTTGTCTTTGGCTTAGTTGGGTAGATACTGCTGTCCCATGGACCAATAACCCTCAACAGCCTACCTGCCTCTAAGGGATCGGTCTATCAAAATTCACCTGCTCATCCCACTCCATCCAGATCAGGTCAAAGAAAGGGACTGACAGTTATTTTTCTCAACCACCATGATTGGGAAACAAAGCCAGGAGAATCTACCAATCACATTCCAGAAGGCCCAATTCTGAAACTTTAAGGATATTCACCAGCCTTGTGGTGTGATGTAATGCTAGAAAACTTTACTGCCAGCTCAAGGATTGGTGGGTTTGTCTGGCTGTGCTCAGAGACATACTTAGAGGACTGGAACCCTCTAAGTATTCTGAACTTCAATTCCCGCCAACTTTGACAGCAGTGACAAGAAATGGTGACGGTTCTATTAGAAACATCTGGAGGATGTGGTTAGGTTGTGTATTCCCAGTCCAAACACAACAAGCACCTCTTTGCAACCACTCAGAAGGGGAATGGGAAGCTCACTAGTCACAGATACACTGGTGTGGTTAATGATTATGGTACTGGACTATGACCAAGGAGACTTATGATCAAGTCCACCAACTGTCACAGGAACTCCCTGAGTGCCTTCGGGGCAGGGCCAACCTACCTCTCACAGTGTTCTTAGGAGAATAAAAATACAGAATACAGAATAACAGAGTTTGAAGGAAAAAAACAGAACAGAGTAACAGCATTGGAAGGGAACTTGGAAGTCTTCTTGTCTAACCGCCTAAAGCTGCCGGTGTCATCTCTATTATTGTTTCTACATTAATATTTTATGCAATTTTATTGCAGTACATGTCTCCTTTATAGTTTTGTTAATAAATACAGGTTTATGTATTTTTCTTGTAGTGTTCCTAAAGGCCATAAAAAAGGTTTGATTGGAGTGGCGCAGTAGACTAAAGCACTGTTATTAACATCAAGCTGTCTGCAATTACTGCAGGTTCGAATCTCGCCAGGCTCAAGGTTGACTCAGCCTTCCATCCTTTCTAAGGTAGGTAAAATGAGGACCCAGTTTGTGGGGGCAATAAGCTGACTTTGTATAAATATACAAAAGTATGAAGGCTATTGCTTAACGCATTGTAAGCCGCCCTGAGTCTCCGGAGAAGGGCGGCATATAAATCAAATTAAAAAAAAAAAAAAGGTTGACACATCTCTAATAAATAGTAATGTTTAAGTTGTGTTTTAGCTTAATATCCAATTAATTAGAATAAAGAAAAATCAAGTCTCATTTTAAACTAACAGCTTTCATTTCAAACAGCAGTTACTTAAGATTTGTTAAAGTGTTTATCCGGTATTCAATTACCAGAATGCAAGAATTTTAGTAAAGAACTAATCAGGAGCACAGTATAACCTAAAAGGAATCCACTACAAGAAGAATGTTGCCACATCAAATAAAAAATATTCACAATATCAGGAATTTCAACTTTTCAATCTGATCTCTCTCTTAGATGCCATCTTTAAAAGACAAAACAGTCTAGACA